CGCCATTTCGCGGGTCCGTGAGGTATTTGTGAGATTCGGTCCGGAAAAATGGAATAAAGTAGTTGAATATGAGTTTTAGAGTAAATCAATTGAGTATCATCTCACTCTTGTCTTTCAGCCCCGGCGTGTAGTTCTGGCGTTTTTCGTACCTGGCGGCAGAAAAATATCTTGGGAAAAAAAGTTGGGTCACGTGGGGCTGCGATAGAGCCGGCAATCAAAGTTACCGCCTGTCTAATCTCTGCCTGAGGCTCCTACACCAAGTACAAGATAACCGCTTCGGAATCATGGATAACTTCGAATTTCACGTCTTGAGCCCCTTAAGTACAAATCCATTAGGAAATGCCGGCCCATGCATATTAGATAACCGTGTTAATTAAAATGCCACGTAATCGCTATCCATCCGCGATAATCCGATGTTGCACATCTAGCCTTCGTCCTTTCCAGCTTCGACTACCTCCGACAGCATCGATCGCGTCTTCTCCCTGGTGGCCCAGGTACGGCCGAGTGGCCATACCGATCGTACCTATCTATCCCATGTATCTGGCTTGTTGTGGCCGGTGCAACGCACAAGGTAGGCAACGTTCAGACTAACAGGTTAGCCCTCTCCTCTCAGAACAGGTTATAAACACTTACAACTTGGTGCCCCAAACACGAACACCCCGAAGCAGGCCCTGCTCCTCGAACCCAGCGTGCTCTTCAAGCCACTTCTTGACACGCTTGTGATCGAAAATCTCACGATTGTCGTTGCCCACATAGGAAAGCGTGAAAACAAGCCTGGCGAGTCTGCGCCTGCCACCAGGGTAATAGGCCGAGCGATCATCGGTGCCTGCATGAAACTGGTAGCCGCCTTTGGAGTCGTGCGATGGATCGCATGCTTGCAGTAGCTTGTCGAGCAGGCATTTTCCAATCCCTTGGTTGGTTTCTCCGTCTTTGACAAACAGCTCCAACTCAGCCGTGTAGTGGCAGGCATAGGCATCACTATCAAACCCCTTGGCAAGTGCGTACCCCAGAATCTTCTCCGGCCGCTTGGAGGATGATCTGTGGCGATCAACTGCCACAATGAACGGTAGTTGCGCCTCGCGACAGCCTCGGATGCGCTGGAGAACTTGCTCGGAATCAAGGTTGCTCTTGATGTTGGTGTTCGGACTGCGAGACGAGTGTTGAGCGTACCAGTTGATTATCTCTTCAAGCTCTGGTGCATCCTTCTCTTCAGCTGGGCGAAGGTATATGTTTGCAACCGGGCTACTTGGACTTCTCAGTCGCGGGCTGTGCAGCGCCTCAAGTCGTACCTTCCGGTCCATTTCCTTTCGGCGATCCTCGTCTTCTTCCGCCTTCTTCCTTTGCGCATTGATGTTGTAGATATATCCAGCAGCACTCTCATGCGCGTGATTCGAAGCCTTCTCGTCTCTTGGATGAAGGTTACTTTTGTACTTGCGCATGTCCAAGATAAACATGGATGTCTCGCCATCTGCATGGGCCGTGCCGTGGAAGAATGCTTCATGAAAAATGTCCACGTTACACCTTCTTTGGATGGTATCATCCAGCCAACTCTGGAACCTAGCACGGTACCACTTTGCATCGCTGATATCGTGCGGACAATACACCCAGTTGGCTATGAATTTGTCGCTCCACGCGTGTTCCTGCACTATTCGCTTAGAACGCTTGGCCACCTTCGTCTCCGACTTAGAGGAAGAGTTCAAGTCTTTGATCTTTGCTAGACTTCTCCTAGCTTTCGCCAAGGCTCTCTTATGGCAATCGTCTGCCGATGGGGAAAGAGCGAGTTTTTTGTCCGAGACCGATGGGTAAGCTCGAGGGGTTTTGTTGTACAGTTCTTTCCACACCTCTACCTGACTTTCCAGCTCGCTTTGAAGCACCTTTGGGTCTTTCTCCGTATCGAACTCTTCTGCAGAGAAGACGTAGGAAGTTCCAGGAAGGTTGCTGTAGTCTGGGACGTCAACCTGGGGGACACAGCGGGCCTCTGCAAGATGTTGGTAGATTGGTGAGAAGATATCAGTCCCCGGACCATCTCTGCATCTAGCAAGCAGCTCTGGGCTAGCTGTCTCGTCACTATTTCCTTGTCGGCCTCTATGGGCTTTTGCCAACACCTCTTTTTGCAAGCGCTCTAGCTCCTCGTGTACATCCTCCTCTGCTCCGAGAAGATAATCACGACGGTTCTCCTTGGGCTCCTCTTCACCGAGCAGATAATCACGTCGGTTTTCCTTTGGTATAGTGACACCTTTATGCCAGTCTCCGTGCTCATGGTGGAAGGTATGTGATCCTTCGCTGCTAATTTCAAAGTCGATCGAATCGGGAGAGGGGAGCGGTTGCGCGGCTGGGGTGTGCTCAATTTTCGTGGACTGATGAGACGGTGCTTTGCCCTTTCTATATCCTCCCGGGGGAGGTATAACGACTGCGTCTGAGCTATTGGAGGTTGACATCATGCCAGGTTCCTGCGCTTCCGCTGCTCTTGTGTTAGTCCGGAAATCTCTTGGCACACCGGAAATAGCAGCAAAACTTACCAAATTTGAAGATAATCTGGGGTCTAATTCCAGTCTCGGGTGCTTGGCTAGGCGCTGGGGATGAAGTCACTGTGATCTCTTGAGCAAGAGGGGAGGGGATGTGAGGAGCGTGAGGGACAGGCGATTTCTGTGTTCGCGGTAGGAGAGGCTTAGGCGAACGGGCTCGGAGACGAAGACTGGTGCCGTTTCTCACGAGGGGGATCACCGGGGTTACTCTCTTGGACAAAACAGGAGCGAGGCCGCTTTTGCTTGAGTCTTCGTGATGTTTCGGGGGTTCTTTGCTGGCGACAGAGGCGCTGGCAGGACTGGGGGTGGGAGTGCGATCTGGAGCAACACTTTTGGGTATCTCACTGTGTGTCGTAACCAATAACTCTCCGTTGTGCGAATTACTAGTTCCTCTAGCTCGTGCAATAGCCTCTTCACGAGTGAGCGGAATGATAGGGTAGTAGCGCTGTTTTGGAATTGTGATATGTTTAGATGGGGAAGAGGACGAAGGAACGGGAGTAAAAGTGAGACTGCGGGGGTTGTCTGAGGACTCGTTGGGTTTCATGGCCGGTGAATGAGAGGCGCCCTTCACAGTCAAATTTGAAGACATGACAGTACTTCCGCGGGCAGGATTAGGGTCCTTGAGTTCTGGGGTCTGGTCTTGAGGGAAGGAAGGTTCCATTTCTGGCACAGATACAATCGCTCTCACCTCAGACTCTTTGGCCACTTCGGTTTCAGGCTTAATTGTAGAAGAGCCCTTGGTTGTCTTTTCAATAGTAGGTGAGTTTGGGGGGGATCGGTATTTGCTTGGAAAGCCCTCTGTGTGCAGGATCTCTTTGGCAGCCTTCATCCTAGACCAGAGATCCGGACCATCACAAATTCCCATGTCACCCATGTTGACTGTGCACCTCACGCCCTGTTGAAACAGAAGGGTTATTCTTGATATTCGCTTATTATGTGTATGGTTTCACTTACCTTGAGTAAAAAGAATGGTTGTATCAAGGGTCAAGATATAGCACAATAGGCTAAACACTGGGTATCACAGCAAGACTTGTAGAGGAGAGAAGAGAGAAACAGAACTTTAGAATACTTTGTAGGCAGGCTTAAGTAAGGCATATCTTAGATTAGTACTTATTGTGCCTTCACATAGGTAAGAATTTTTAGTTATTGCGCTGATTTCTGTATACCAGTGGGGTGAGTGTACATGCAAGTGGACCCAATAGCAATCAGGCCAGGTGACGACAACGAGCAGCGACTCCAATCGGGCAGACACTTCTGGAGAGACTCATCCAGGCCCGGGCTCTTCTTGAAATGGCTGTTTCAAGAGATGTGGTTGATTCTTGACCCGCGAATCTATCTTTCCGCCCGTTGCGGGCTCAGATATTGATACTTTCCGTCCGCAACGACCGCCAAGAAAAGATTGCTGGACGATTCTCGTTGCCAAAATGCTGTCTATACTCCGAAAAGCTAGGCTCAAGGATAAGGAAATGCGGATTTTGATGCTGTACGATTTGAACTTTCCCCCCCAAAAAAAAAAAAAAAAAAAAACCTCTCGGATCCGCTAATAGCAGCGCAGTGGTCTCGACAATGCGGGCAAGACAACCATCGTCAAACAGATCATGAACGAGGATGTCACCACTGTAAGCCCGACGCTGGGCTTTATCATCAAGACAATAGATTTTGATGGGTATTTGCAATCTTATTCTGTTCTCTGCTTCGAAGAAATGCTAACCTTATCTTCAGGTACCGGCTAAACATCTGTGAGGTCGCTTGACATGGGGTTGGTCTCTCTCCCACTAACACTTCCCCAGGGGACGTCGGCGGCCAAAAAACACTGCGATCATACTGGAAAAACTACTTTGAAAAAACCGATACGCTGGTCTGGGTTGTTGATGCAACAGATAGATTACGAGTCGACGATTGCCGCGAAGAGCTTGCTGGCCTTCTGCTTGAAGAGGTACGGATATATCCTCCCGCAATTTCGTCGACCATCGCTTACCGACGTCGGAACAGCGATTGATGGGCGCAAGCCTTCTGGTCTTCCTGAACAAAACCGATGTCGAGGGATGTATGACCGAGGACGAAGTCCGGCATGTAAGTTTCGTTCTCTTTGCCACGCGGGATTTTTCACGTTGCCGTCAGAAAGCCTAACATTTGCCGTAGCGTCTACAGCTAGATTCGATCAAGACACATAAATGGACGATACTGCCTTGCAGTGCGATGACGGGCAAGAATCTCCGCGAAGGTCTGGACTGGGTAGTCCAAGATGCGAAGGACCGGCTGTTCCTTTACTGATCAATCTCACGGAGTGGACAACCTGCATATATAGAACGCATATAACGATTTACGATTATTAGGAGGAATTAATGTTAGAGGGAACTTGAATTGAGATGATGTCTAAGCTATCCGTCTTTGTTATCGATCCCTCAGATTCACCAACGTCGCCGGGTCCCGGCTTTGCGTTAGGCATTAAAAAAATTGAGAAAAAAAAAAAGATGCGCTGACGGGGAGTCGAACCCCGGTCCCCAGCTTGGAAGGCTAATATGATACCGTTACACCACCAGCGCGTTTTTGATGTATGTTTTTATCAAAATAAAACCTAAGAGTGTAAAGCCTCTTTACCGCAGGGAAAAAAAAAAGCCCTTTCATGGTTCTGCTGGTGGCTTTGGCTCTCAGAACCCTACAATCAAGTTGGAGAGAGAATATGAAGACAGTGAACATAATCAGATTATTTGTTTAGGCTATAAGGGGCTCGAGGACTCACAACTAATATGTTTTCTCTTGTTTTCGTGACATACAGCTGGTGCCATACTCTAGGTCACCAACAGCGATCAAGTATATATAAAGCAAGAGGTACCGTTTCCTATCGTAAAAACATGTACCCATGCGAGATCAATTTCGCGTACTCTAACCAGATTAGCATTGGATATTCCTATGAGAGACCTACCCATGGACGCTCCCGCCCTTCCAATGCACACCAAGGCAATTCAGTGAAAGCGTACCATGTATAGGTCAAATTACAAGGTCTACCACGGATGTGACCCCGACTTACCATGCTACACGAATTAGTACATGAAGAGTACCTAGGTATATGAGGAGATTGTCAATCTACTACACCACTAGGTTTGAGTTTGTCGGGTTAACCCTCCATCGTCCAGTACGGTTGTTGGCGAACAAGGCCAGACATTCCCTTGGAGAAAGTACCTAGATACCCTAATCTTGGAACTAGGCATGCCCGACGACTCAGCACGCATATGCAAGATGACTTATCGTGGAACGAAAGGGACACCATGGACCCCAGGGGCCAGAGCATCGGCATCCGACTCAAAACAATCAAGTAAACTTCGGATTGTTAGCTCTTCCGCCTCTCGAGTCCTGAGGGGTGTGAAGGGCATTGTCAACAGCAGGTGTTACACCGACAACAATGGAATGGGACTTGGGCAAACGACAGTACCGTGGTGTAGCGCAAGGTTGACTATTCTGCCATTGAGAAGTGTCTGGTAGGATAATTTATGTAACCACAATAGCCAACGACTACAAGAGAGCACAGGCAGAAACTAGAAATAAAGCATTGACGGTAGTATTCATGAATGCTTTGTTCGCCATGAGCCTTTCTCAACCAATATATCCGAATAACCGAGAGGCCAAGCTTCATAGCTTCATACTACGTTGTAGCCACGACGAGAAGAGACCCAAGAGAACCGAGAACTCAAGTGTCGCAGCCGCCCTGAGCCGCGGAGGTTCGATCGAGATCCATGGGTCCGAGCATGGAGTCAAACCGGACTTTGATGATGTTTAACTCGATTGGGTCGAGACAGCGGAGAATCTCGTGTGGAATGCCAATGCGCTTCCCCCATCGACGCGAATCATAATAAGGCCTGATATTAATAGAGGAACTGTCGTCATCAGCAGAACCAGATCGCGGGTGGGCGAAACAAGAAGAGCAATGAGAACCCAGATGATTTACTCCACAGTCGCAGTCTCAGCCGAGCCGGCAACGTAAACACTCTTCCGCGTGTAGAAAGATCAAAACAGTATGGAAGGGAGGGCTTCAAAACAAACTTTGGGGTCACCTGCATGTCATGCACCAGACAAGGATGCAAGAGCTAAGCCTCGAGTACAGAGGATTCGCTGCATTCATGACGGTTCGTGGTGGAAGAGGGAAACAGTGGCCAGTGGGGCGCCGACGACTGCAGCTGAACTTCACTCAGTCGTTCCTCAAGGGAGGAAAAAAGGCGGAGAAAGCGAGATTGAGCGTGACCACCACAGCCAGCGTTCCTCGAGGATCGTCATAATCAAAATCACAACCAGAAATGATGCCTTAGAATTCTTCTTCCACCACCACTCTCTTCGCATCTATATTCCACCTTTATCCCTCCCCTCCTTCACTCCGACTCTCCCCACCTTGTCCTTCGCTGTATTTGCATCCCACGCAACTCTCCTCGGCCCGCATTGCTTTCACTGACCGGGCTGGGATTTTTTTTTTGCTTTTCTTTCTCACGTTCTCTTCCAAATTTTCAGCGTTTTTTCAGTTTTAGCGACCCTTACCTACCGGCTTTATTTCGACCGGCCCGAGAGTGGCCATGACTTCCACTTCCGAAGCGGACGGCAGCGAGGATGTGAACGACTTTCTCCAACGCATTCGCGAGCTCGGCGAGAAACGCGACAAGGAGGATGAGGAACGCACAAGGAAGCTGGAGGAAGAGATTCTGCAGGGACGAAAGGAGAGACAGGCTCGGAGAGCTGGTAATTCGCGGCTTCCCTTCGTCCTGAAATTTTATCCTTCGGTTGCGGGTGCCAGAAGACCGTCGGACAGATCACTTGCCGCTTGAAGTGTCTCGCATGCTCAGAAGCTGACTCTTTTTCGTTTTAAACCTTTCTAGAGCGAGCACGCTCGATTTCGCCCACAAAGGACTCCTCTCCGCTCCTAGATCCAGCCCGATTGAGCATGTCGTCGTTGAGTCACCGAGCGATTGACCCTCCGGAACAGCTCGAACCCACCCCTCGTACCCCGGTCCGTGACACACACAGCCCGTCGAATTCGTTCCGCGATGAGACGGCAACGTCGGTAGAAAGCAGCCCTGCGGGCTCGAGGCTGGAAGGTGGTAGTGATAAGGGAGCTTCCCCCAAAGCTTCCCCCACGTTACGGAGCAGAGCCGGAACTCTATCTTGGCAGCAACGACCGACTTCTCGAGATCTCAGCGGTAACCGTACTTTCTTTTCAACCTCGCCTTCTCGCGAAACACGATGGAGGGCCATGTCGAATGTTTCGACCGACGAACCTGGAGTCCTGCGGAGCCCATTGGCCTCTATACCGGTTTCTCGGGAATCGTCTTCCTTGCACCAGACGGAGGGAAGTGGCACGTCAACACTGGAAAAACAAGTTCAGGAGAAGAAGGAGAAGGATGACCCTATTGTCGAAGTCAAGGCGAAAGATCCCGAAGTGGAGAAACCGCCCACAGAGCTAGAGAAGGAGAACATCCCGACTGCCGAAGAACGATCGCAGCCTCCGTCAAGAGCCAGCTCAACGTTGCCAGATAGCAGTCTGGGATACCGGTACTCAAGTGTATCCTCCGTCTCCACAGCCACCGGCCTTGGCTCACCGATACCTTTGTCTGGCGCGCAAAAGTTCGAACCACCGAGGCCCGATGACGGCGTGGAAGGCCAGACGACGTCTCCGACGTCTCCAAGGCGACTTTCTCCGGAGCGTTCCACTTCACCAACGAAGGGACTTGGTGGTTTCGTCCAGAGTGCCATGTTGAGGCGGTCAGACAGTATATCCAAACGATGGAGTGCCCAGCTTCCGTCCGGCCGTAGTCGGGGCGAGTCGTTTACTAGCAATCGCAATAGCTTTGCTGCTCCGAGCAGCGGCGATGTATTCTCCACGCCCAAACTAGTCCATGAAGGATCATCGCTGTCACCGGTTCGACCTACATCAAGCCACAGTGAAGCAACTATCGTCTCTCAGACAAAAGAGGGCGAACGCCCGGCTACGCCTCCAGTGTCGCGAAGAACTGAGAATATTAGCCGCCCACCACTCAGCTTGCATGCGAGATCTACAAGTTCTGTGGGCGTTGAAAGTCCGGTCGACTCGAACTCAAGGCCTACAACACCTTCGACTTCTAGGACTATGGACCCAAGAAGGTGGAGCCCAACGAAATCTTCCTGGCTGGAGAGTGCCCTAAACCTTCCAGACTCGCCAAGGCATAAAAGGCAACCATCCCAACAAACACCTTGGGCGAAGGAACGGCAATCGAGGGGTAGTGTAGACTTGGGGCGCCGAAACAGCTTTAAAGAAGTCACCCCCGTCGGCCTGATGCGGACTACGCCTCTTGGGAGCCACGCCACGAAACCCAGCCTTTCGAAGATTCCCGATGTGCTCAACCCTACTGAATCTAACTCAACCAAAGAGGAGCCCCCGCTTCTTTCCAGCCCGACAAAAGAGAGATCGTTCACTCTTTCTAGTCCGACGAAGGAGGAAACCTTCCCCGCCAGCTCAACTAAGGAGGAACTGCCAGTTCTCCCTAGTCCAACGAAAGAGGGATCGCTTGCCTCTAGCCCGATCAAAGAGGAGCCTCCAACTCTGTTCAGCCCGACGAATGGGGGGTCACGAGACCTTTCCAGCCCGACTAAGGATGAGCCGTTAGGTTCTCCTGGCCCAGCTCAAGAGGAACCTATGGATATCGCTAGCCTGACGAACGAAGAGCCGCAAAGTGTCACAAGCCCGACTGAAGGACCGCCAACCTTGACCAGCCCTGCTAAAGAGGAACCGTTGGAAAACCCTTATACCGAGACTAGCGCCCCCCCAGAGCCTAAGGTCATTGAAACTCCAGCTGAAGCACCAAGGTTCAGCCCTACAAAGGCTGTGACACGCAAGCCTGCACCTCCATCTTTGTCAATTACACCTAAATTGAGCGATGGGGCCCTATCGTCTCCTCGTGAGCCCATTCGTGATCCTGTCTTAACCAGGCCAAAGCCCCAATCGCCGGTAATTGATTTCAGAGCAAACCTTCGAAAACGAGAAGTGGCAAAGGATCAGTCTACGACAGCGGAGCCGGAATTTAAGAATGTTTTCGGAAAGCTGAAAAAAACAGAGACATCAAATTATGTCGCACCGGATGAGTTGAAAAGTAACATTCTCCGGGGAAAGGCCGCTCTGAACGTCACTGGAGGACCAAAGAAAACCCAGAGGGTTGATGAGTTGAAGGAAAGCATCCTCAAACAGAAAGAAGCCATGAAGTTGAATGGTGGTTCCGTGCGTCGAAGCACCGTCGGACAGAGCGACGCGCCTACGAAAGCTGTTCCAGAAGCGATCCTGAAGCGTCAACACCTAGCCAAGCCGAGTAGCGACAAGAATGAGCTTCCAGTGGATAGCGTACCTTCGCCCACAGCCGATGAAAATAAGTCTCCAGTGCGCTTGCATAATCGCCAACTTTCGCTTGACCCTTCTAATGGCCATGAGCGAGCTTCGCCGTCTCAACCTGAGGAAATTGCCACCAATGAGCGCAATGAGGATACTGATTCCCCAAAAGAGGATTTGGATCAAAGTGCCACCGTCGCTGAGATC